ATAGAAATTTGGATTTCATTTGGTTTAATAAAATATAGATTAATAAAATATTCTTAAGTAAAATTGTAGATTTTTTTGGTGGGAAATTAATCATTTAGATTAATCGATAAATTAGTCGATAGATTAATCGAAATAAAAATAGTCTTAAGTTTAATAGTTTAGTTAGTTTAATAAATTTTGACTGATATGTTTAGCAGAATTTTTTAATCCATGTAGCAAACGTTTTAAAAATAGCTTTGGGGGAGAAAAAAAAAACCGGCGTTCGGATTATATGTAAATTGCTTGAGCTTATTTCACAATATTAGATCGAAAGATCAGAAAAAGCCCACATACAGCGGCCCATAGACCCTCCCCTCAAACGAAATTAAGACAGAAGTGGTCGAAAGTGGACAGAAGAGACATATTAAAACACCAGGTATGAACGGGAATTTGTCTCCCTCGTCTACTTGTGATCCGATCGACAAAACGCATATTAATACCAGGTATAAACATGGCCTGAGTGTTCATATCATCTCTTGTTTTTTTCTAATATGTAAGTACTGAGGCTTAAACCACATAAGATAAATATCAATATTTTGACTCTCAGAATGAGTCATAGCAAGCCGTTTGCTGGTTTAAGTGGCCTAAAGAAGCAATCCTGCTGTCCAGGACAGATAGTCTGAGCTCCCACATGTCTTAAATTAGCACACTTAAGACTCTCTGCATTAGGAAACTAGATCAAAAGAAACATAATCGGTTTCTCAGAAGAGCAACATGACCCAAATTAGCTGCATTAGAGTCATTTTTGTTGTTTAGGTCTCCAGCAGATGTCACTTTCACCATGCAGTGTCCAAGACAGAGGTGAAACGTTTGGCCTTGAGTTTGAGTCTTATTGTAAAATGTAATACCTTTATTTGGGTTTAGATTTGTATTCATTGGCTTTAAAGTTGCAATGTAACCGAAGTAGTAACAGATCTTTTTTTTTATGTATTTCCAAATGAAATGGATTATCAAATAGAAAAAATGGCAGGACTTGGTTCTATTCATCGGTTATTGTTTGGATTGAGGCAGATCTGAATATGAGCCTGCAGTTGATTGTAAAAAAAAAAGGTTTGCGAAGACAAAATGATTGGAGATGTCAAAAATGTTTGTTTTAAAAATTATGCATAGATATACCATTCATAATAACATAAATAGTATATACTTAAAAAAATTCCAAATTCAATTCTCCATGATGGTAGTCACTGCGCTTGGTTAACATTTTTATGTAATCTCAAGTGTCTGGTCAAACATGTTTTTAAACTAACTTTCCACACCTCAGTGTCTGCGTGTGTGAAGACGATTGCATGGTCTTTAGTCCCGCCTTTTTCCAATCCTGTCTTCTATAAATATTTTAGCTGTCACATGACGCACTAAGATGTCTTAGAGTCTCTCGATACCCTGTGTGTGTGTGTGTGTGTGTGTGTGTGTGTGCATGGGAAAATATGTGAACGCTTTCCAGCTCACAACTTTGTTTCCTCGGCTGTATCTGCAGATAGGATTATTGGTGTGCTGAGCTAGCATTTCTGAGCATGCACTCTCACACATGGCGAATCTCTCTGTGGCTTTGGCCTAATTCCCTTGATAACACATCCATCAGATTACAATTAAGAGATTGACCATGAAGCCTGGCCTGTAATTTATAACAGTGCAGCTGTGACATTTTGTTGAGTTGATTTGATTTACTAGGATTCCAATATACCATATTTTGTTTGGAAAACAATCAGGGTCAATATTATGACAAAAAGTACTAAAATGAAATATGATTTAAATGGGGATAATGCTCTCTCTTTCTCCTCAGCGCTGATTGGGTGGAAATCCTTGAGCCCCGTTCGCAAGAGCGCATGTACGTGAATCTGGCAACGGGAGAGTGTGGCTGGGACCTGCCCACCGATGTGCCCATCCGCCAGGCTGATGTCAACCAGTGGTGGGAGCTTTTTGACCCCCAGAGTGGCAGGTTTTACTACTACAACTCTGCTGGCCGCATGACTGTGTGGCACAGACCTCAGGGTGCAGATATTGTCCCTCTGTCTCAGCTCCAGGTCATGAAACGCAGCACTGCATCTGAGCGCAAGGCTGATGGGGGTACTAGGGAACGACAACATGGGAATCAGTCCACAGGGAGTCAAGATAGACGCACCCCTCTACCACCCATGGAGCCCTACACTAAAGAGCCAGAATGTGCCGGCAAAGAGCCTAAACAACAAGAAATGGACAACAGACAGAAACCAGACATCCACAGCGTAGACAGCAGCAAAGACTCACTCAGGTAGGCCTCTGGGCTTTCTCTGCATGTTATCTTGAGACTAGTTGTTATGGTTCCTCAGAAATAACTAGCCTTAACCAGAGACCAGTTATCTTAAACTGCTGGAATATCACTCTGATATTCCATGACACTAAAGAAACCTTCTGGGTTCAGTACGAGTTACACTCAGCTGGCAGCACTTGTGGCATAATGTTGATTTACAACAACAACAAAAATTTTAAATCCTCCCTTGTTTGTAAAAAAATCGAAGTTACGTTGAGGCATGCATGTAAATGGGGCCAATTTTTGGAGGATTTAAAAGCAGAAATTACTTACGTTAATTCTTCTGTTAAGACTTGTATATTGTTTGATCTATAAAGCTGTTTAAATCATTTTTGCAGTTGTTGTAGGGTTTAGGCTTTATTTTATCATGCCAGCAAAGTTGTAACATTGAAAAGTTTAAGCATTTATATCACACTAAAATCATGTTAAACTAGAGGTGGGTGATCTGACAATTTTATATTGTGATCAGTCTTGAATCTTTTATGTTCTCATAATAATGTTAAAACTACAGCAACGACGCCTAGATAACTGTGGCTGGTCAAATTATATCTCTCTATATATCTCTATCCATGTGTCTTTCATGCGTAGTGACGTATTTAAAAAAACAACTCAACGTGAGCTAGCAGTAGTAGTGCGATGAGTCAAATTTAAATTTCAGTTTCGATTTGTGCCACATGCCGTTCCATTCCTTTAAAGTATACTTGGGGTTATGTCTTAAGTGAACATAAACAATTGGGAAAGAAATTGGATGCGTGTCAGTATTAGATCTGTGCATTCTGTCTTAAAGCTTAATGCAAATACCTACTTCTGTCTGTGTCATTAATGTTAATCAAACAATAAAAGACAGAGAAAATCACTCTGTTCTTGACTGAATCACTTTTATAACTTTAATAAAAATGAATGTATATTTGATTCATACAGTGATGCAGTGTTTTAAATTTTAACTCAGGCTTTAATAACAATTTTTGTTGCAATACTGTGCACTACTGTGTTTTAAATTATTCAAAAAGATAAGTCATAGGCTTGTTCCAGTCTTGATATTCTCGATAGTACATTGGGAAGATCATGATTCAGATCGTAGATCATGATTTTGTGTAATAAGTTTGTGATATGATATTTTGGGAAGATTGCCGACCCATATGTTAAACCATTTATTGTTTATGTATTGAGGCTGTACTAACTAACACTTCCATTGTAAGTGCCTCACCGTAACCCTGATTTTTAGCTTTTAAAAAAAAAGCTAAAAAGTAAAACAGGCAAAAGTAGAAATTTATTTGTGCAGTAATCAACATTATACCACAAATGCTTTCGATTGAGCTTAACTTGTACTGAACCCAGAATATTCCTTTAGCTTTTGTTGCTGCACCCCTTGTGTTTATCATGTACTTGTACGGCAGTCATTTAGATAAATTGCTGCCAAATGTGAAAAGTCGATATTTCCTCATAACCCATATTATGGAGTGTTTTATGTGAGTTAGTTTGTTTCTTCCGAGACCCATCAAACCACCTTCATAACCAGATTCCAGTCATGTCAACTCTATTTCACCTGGCACTGGGCTGTGTTTCTGTTATTTCAGTGCCATATGCTTTACCCAACTACAATCCTTTGGCCATTCATTCTTTCCTAAAACAATCTCTGGGCCCCACCAGATGAAACTGGTGGGATCGTGGCGCAGGGAGAGCCAAACCATTGTGGTTCAAACGTGACTGGACTTTCCCTTTTTCCTGCAAAGCAAAGCGCTCTTGAGCCCATGGTATACATTATCCAGCATATACAGTGGTTCTTTCTATTTCAGGGAAATGTTTAGCAGGGCCCTTGTTCTTTCAAATCCACCCATGGAAAAAGAGTTAAAGGGGACATCGGATGAAATTTTCACTTTTTTTGTATATAGGTTTCTGGCGTGTCACACAGAGCCAGTTCGTTATGGGCTGTCTGAGTCTGAAACTGTGTCATCTAGCGAGCTGTTTCAGTTTGCAGCGGGTTTCGGCGTAGATAGCTAGCTATTTGAATAAGACCACCTCCGAGCCATATACGGATATATTCACATGTCTTGTATCGACACGCCCCACAGAAGAGAGGGGTGGGGTGAGCAGTAACTCATTATCATTTAAAGAGACATGCACTGAAACGGGTCGCTGTGAACAGAGCTGTTTTTGAAGGTAAAAAGGGTGTTATTTTACATGATCATTAAAGAATTTTAACCAAAGTATGTTACAGACATTTCATGAAGACCCTAAAGAATCATACCAACTTGTGGAAAATAGGCATCCGATGTCCCCTTTAATGTCCATTATCTCAACTGCGGGATCTAGTGTTAATTTTGTCAGCCGTTTTTAATTTAGTCTTAGTCTTAGTCTTTTTATTAGTCTTAGTCCTGTGTCAAATGAGCTTTTTAGTTATTATCCTATTTAGTCAACCTTGTTCTGTTTTTGTTTAGTGAAGTTTTAGTCGACTAAATGTCTGAGCATTTTAGTTTATTTTTAGTAATTTTTGTCATGCTGTATAATGGTTAAACTAATAAAAAAATATATATTTTTGCTCAATTATAATCGCAATGGTTGTTGTCATTTGAGAAGTTTATTTTTACATTTCAGGTATTGCACTTTCACCAATAAGCACAAATCAATAGAACGTGGTTTATTTGACCTCATCTAGTGTACTGATTTATTATAGGCTATTTAATATATTTAATATAATATCAAAGACCTAGATATGCACTTTCTCTGTCTACATTATAAAAACTGGTAAAAACAAAAAAAAAATATTAAAACAGCGAAATTCCGCTAGTAATTCCAAATTGCAATAATGTTTCTCAGTTAAAACAACAGCGGTTGAGTAAGTGCATTTATTCAGCAACCACAATCGCATACAAAATAGTCGAGATCTCATGACAGAACACAGACAGGCTGAATGACACTTTCATTTAACATCTCACATGGAAATTGCTAAACTTCAGCTTACTTATTTGTCGGTGTTTTCAGATCATCGTCGGCGCTTCCGTAATGAAGAGCAAGGGCATGCACATGGTTGCCAGATTGCAAAAATTAAGCAAAACACCAGGCAGAAAATGTATCCTTTTAACAGAGAAGCTCTGAATTGGGGATTTGAACTCTTCATATCTGGCAACGGCACACATGAAAGCCTGCTTAGTAGAAGCATGTACAGCAGTCCGAAATAATATTTTGTCACCTTTTTTTCAGATGAAAATAAAAGGATTTTGGTATAGTTTTTATTTTTTTTAAATACATTTTAGTCTCATCATTTATCGGCAATGATATTGCATGCTGATATAGTCACAGTTATCATTTATTGACCTTATTGTCGCCATCGTCTCGTTTTAGTCATGGGAAAAAAGCTCGTCAACATTTTTCATCATAGTTTTCATTAACGAAATTAACACTGGTGGGATCCCACTGTAGCTTTAGAGGGTTTTGAAATATTGTGGCTGCTTATGGCACAAGCTACTTGGTGAGTGGAGAGTGCTATGAGGAGCTGTCCTCTTTCTTCGCTTTAGATACGCATGACTGCTGTTTCTGGGAGGCCCAACGTTTTTTTACCCTTTTTGTAAAACTAGTAGGGCAACAAATTTTTGACCTTTAGGTAAACCTAGAAGGGCAAGAAACCACTCATCTCCCACCTCCTGGCCTCCAATGTGTTTCAGACCTCTCAAGCAGCAGTACATCTTTCTTGGGAACCCCACACGTCTAAGCCTCCTTACGGATGACTCACATTTTTAAAAGGTCATACGATGTTCCCAAAACAATGGACGGCTGTGTGTGAGAGATTCAGAGACCATAACTATAGCTTTCTGAGTGCATTGTGCCTAATTTAGCGGTATGATAATATCTTAGTTGTTTTCAAATAACTTTTGTGGGTTGTGTGTAGGGCTGGGAGATGCATTGAATGTTCATGATATATACTATTGTTCAGTAGATTTTTTTCTTTTCAAAGAAATTAATACTATTCAGCAAGGATGAAAAAGTATTTCAAATTAACTCTTCTTTTGAACAATTCCTCAAATATTCCTAAAAAAATATGTCACCGTTTCCACAGATATAATAAGCAGGACAAATGTTTTAACACTGATAATAATAAAAAGTTTCTTGAGGAGCAAATCAGCATATTAGTATGATTTCTGAAGGATCATGTGACACTCGAGACTGGAGTAATGGCTGCTGAAAATTCAACTTTGCAATCACAGAAATAAGTTATATTTTAATATACATTAAAATAGAAAAGAGTTATTTTAAATTGCAATAATATTACTGTTTTTGCTGTATTTTTTATCAAATACAGCCTTGGTGAGACTTATTTCAAAAACATTTTTATAAATCTTACAGACCCCAAACTTTTGAGCACTAGAGTATTTTTGTTTTTTCTGGCAACATAAAATTAGGCTGCTGTTTATTATTGTATTGTTGAAAGGATGTTATTTAGTAAAAACTTTGCATCTCTAGGTTATTTATATCTAAACTTTTTACTGTTTTTAATTCTCACATTACAGTTTTTTTCAATTGCTAACGAGCGTTTACCAATACTTAAAGTACTTTTTCTAAACTCTTAACACAGCAACACACCTACATCACACAATTAGCCCAGTAGTTAATTTTCTGGCCAAAACCGCATTTTGTTAAATAAATACAAACTCTACATTTCAAAATGCTAAATACCTTTTTCTACATATATTAACTCTATGAAAACACAGCAAACCCGATTCAAGATCGAGTCATTCAGTCAAAACCTTGGCCCAGGTTTTCAATCCAATAGGAACATATAGTCGATCATAGTGCATAGACTGTCAAAATGATAACAATTAATGGCATTACAAAAACTGCATTACTTGTCATGTCTCAGTTCGACCTGTATAGAACATACAACATGAGATCCATTTAAAAAAAATTAAAATAAAATAATAATAATTCAGTCAGCTGAACTCTACATTTGTTTTTTGTGTGTGTAA